TTCCAATTCCGTCGAGTTCTGTCGGTAAATTTGCTCTCTGCTGTGCCAGTCATGGCATATAAGCTGCTTCACTAATAAAAAGTAAAAATTACCGGCCGACAAGAAGTCGTCAGCATCGTAAAAACCGTCTCAACTTTTCCGACCGCTTCCAAGTTTTATTTCTGAAATCGATTCATTTCAGCTAATTAATTTACAGCGAGTCATGAATCGTACCACAATTCACAAATCGACAGTATTTCGTCTAGGTATTGTGCAAATATACATAACATATAATATATGGACAGCATTGTATCGGCGGGAAATCACAAGAAAGCTCTACGCATGCAGCCGAGGATATTGAGGAAAAATTAATACCCATAAATTAAATGAGGTGCAGTCACAGGTGAAGCTTTGTAAACAGAAATCTACACGGACAATGTCTGGCTGTAAAATTCACTGATTTTACACTATATGTTATAATGAGCTTTTTTGTGTGAACGTATACTCTAGCCATTGCCACAGCATATAAACGTTTGTAATTCATAGTACTGTCATTTCAAAATACCTATATATTTACATACCAGTATGTACTACACATAAGTTAATGCTTCTCATGTTGGGGTATTTCCTTACAACCGTTCGACTCGCCACTTTTTGAATTCATTAAAAGAGAATACCAAACTTTTATTTTATATATTTTAGACTTAACTATTGTGAATGGCTCACATGACACTATAGCACTCCCGTTTCTAAGCTCTTCCTCATTTTTCAAATATTGCAGACGTGTATTGTTATTATTTTTAGAACAAACTCAACAATTATATATTATATTAAGAGGCATATCTAATTTTTATTCAATATTGGTCTTACGTTTACAACATAAATTAAAAACCCATTACCATGCAAAATAGTAAAACTTTTTGATAACATAGCAGCGCCCAAATATACAATAGAGAGCAGAGAAATTGGTGATCGAAGACAACTGAGCGTTTTGTAGTGTCGAGTTTGGAAATTTGTAGCGCCTGCTCCCAATGATTTTTGTGAATTAACTGGTCTACTCGGGTATCACTTTACGGACAGCTAATATCTTAGCTATATCTTACCATAGCTAAGCCATGTTGTTAAATATATGTACATATATCAACGCTAATGCATTTACAAACAATCATGGGCGACAAACAAACCAATAATAACAACAATTGCTAAGTGTGAAAGTGTGAAATTTTGAAATCCGAAGAATTCGCATGTTTCTTTCGGTGCATTATTTGAAAAGAGTTCTCCTTTTTTACTTTTGTTGTGTGCAGTTATGCGTGCTGTAGGTTGCAGCTCTAATAACTGAAAGAGGTACAAACTGCAGAAAGTACATATTATATGTGAATAAAGCAACGTGTTAAAAATAAAATTACTAGGCGCTGAGGATGAAACTACTAGCTAGGCTTAATCAGAAGCTATAAAACACTCCATTTTAATAAATTGTATATGTTTAACTTACATTAGAGTTACTCACGGAGTAACTCACGCATCTTATACCCATTTTTTTCAATTCACAGGCAAATTAGTTTGGTGCAAACCTGATTTCCGAAGTCCACAATGAAGACTAATTTGCATTTACGTTTATGCTTATTAAAATGAGTTCGAATAAATTAGGGTTGTAGACGAATTAATATACTATTTACTCTAAATAAAAAAGAGGCCGATGAAAGTATGCAACATCTAAGTTATTATCAACGTACAATTTTGCCATGCCAAACTATGTTCTCGATAACACTCGCTAAAATCCAATTATATTTTTAAAGAAAAGTGGTTGGTGGTCTTCTTGGAGTATATGTAAACAGGTAAATCGGTGTTCAAGCACGCCTACTTATATATTTTCGTTTTTGCACTGAAACTAATTGTCGCACGAAAAGGCTACGGTGCTGGCCATATTCGGTCAAAAGCCACTTCGATTCAATTAAGCTCTTGTTAACAACTCTAAGTATATTCAGTTTAATTAAGTTGATGAAGAGAAACAATGTATGGCAATTTCTATGCCAGTTTCATTTTCTCTTTCCTCCTTATTATGGATATTATATAAATTTGTAATGGAAATTTTGTAGTTATACCATGTACAGGGTATATTTAGTTTGCCACGAAGTTTGGAACATCCAGAAAGAAACGTCGGTACGATTTACCTATGTCCGTCTGTCTGTCCGACCGTTCGTCTGTCTGTATATACGCTAACTTGCTCCTCATTTTTTGAGATATCAATCTGAAATTTTGCATTCGCAATTCTCTTTACAAGAAGCTGCTCATTTGTCGAAACCGAAACATATAGCTGTCATACAAACTGAACGAATAAAATAAGTTCTTGTATTGAAAACTTTTTTATTTGACGAGGCGGCGAAGAATCTTTTCCAAGGCTTTCAGAGGCCTGGAATCTCTGTAGACCCTTAACTAAACAAATATGGATTGTGACATTTGCCTGAAGTTAATTAGCAACGGAGAGAAAAAAGCCTAGAACAGTTTTAAGGCAGTAGTGCTTTGTTTCCTTGGAAACCATAGGGCTGACAATTATGACGAACTGTTCAGTGACATGATTACGAATCTCTCTATCGGATTGAAGAACTTGTAGGAAATTTTTGTATATGTGAAGGGTATTATAGCTTCGGTGCAACCGAGGTTAACCTTTTTTCTTGCTTTTACTTTTACTTGTAACTTGGGTGATAAAAATGCTAAAAGGAACAAATAAATTTATGATAAAAACCTGTGTAAGAAATTTCCGGGAGTTCACTAACATTATATTTTGCTATGTGAATTCTACTTGATTTGACAAAGTAAAAGCAACATAAAATGTACAAAAATAATAAGGAATTTGCGGAGTTATTCACATTGAAATTTATATGGAAAGTATGGTTTTTGTACTTTCCATGTGGGCTACTTCCAAAAAAAAAAACTGAATTCTTCAATTAAAATGGAACTCGAAAACAAATTTAATTTGGTTGACATCGGCTATCTTCAGCGCTAAAAATTACACTTAAACAGGTGCTGCTGCCGAGGCGATCTCCCTTGTATCGGCACCACATCGCAGCACGTACAGATCTTCGGGTAAATATGTATGTTTGTATGTGATGCGTATGTATGGTCCACTTTATGCAGACGTCCACTCTAGATTCATTCTGCGAAACATTATACCGGTTACGAAAATACCTACTTATGACTTATGTATGTATGTGTGTATGTGTGCAGGGATTGTGAGGCCTCTCATCATCAAATAATCAGGTATCGATCGCATATCAATTTAGGCAGTGTTGAAATGCCAAGATAAACTAATTTAAAGTATTTATCATCATAATATAATGTCATAAAATTATTAATAAAAGCTTCGGGCAGACAAAATCGTTAAAATTACTTATCGAAATTACGTAATTAATAAAATAGCCTTTGCATATCGATGTGTATATTCAGCTTAGGTATTGCACTCATTTCTGTCAAGCGACTTGTTTTTTGAAAATTGATTTCAGAATAACTCAGCGTTAAATGTCTAGCTGGGAGAAAAGGACGTGTGTAAAATTTCAGATGGATATCTCAAAAAATGTGGAACTAGTTCGCGTATATACTGACAAACGGACGGACAGACGGGCTTGGCTAAATAGACTTAGCATGATCATGCTCATGCTGATCAATTATATATATTATACATACTTGTACATATATTTTATTGGCTCTTCGACGTTTCCTTCTGGTTGTTACAAACTTCGTGGCAAACTTAATATACCCTGTTTAGGGTATACAAATTTTTTTCTTTCGCATAGTAAACATAAAAATATTCTGCTTAAGAAGTCAAGCCCGAAGATTGTGTCTTATTTCGATACAGATTGTCACAATATATAAGATGTAAGCAATTTTGCAAATGTATGTATGAACTTAAGTTCTTAAATATTACTTTTCGTCTGCCGCTCTTTAATATTTCCGGGGACTCTTTCATTACAATGATTTCTATGACAAGTTTATGAATTTTATGTTAAATTTTGGCAAAATATTTATTTTCACAATATCGCCAATAAAGAACGCTTGTGAATGACTTGTTTTAATAATTCATATTTTATCTCCACTTAAATAGAGTGCGATTCGTTTAGGGAAAAAATATTGAATGTTCCCACTACTAGTTATACATTTTTTGTTGCTGTCTCTGTTTACAAATCGATATTTTAAAAGTGAGAAATACGATTATAATTATTTTTATACACGTGTATACATATATTATATAGAGTATATTAACTACCTCCACAAATACGTGAACTTTATAATATAATTATACCCTGAACAGGGTGTATTAAGTTTGCCACGAAGTTTGTAACACCCAGAAGAAAACGTTGAACAGCTCATCATGACTTGATCTAACCATGTCCGTCTGTCTGTCGTACGAACTACGCCTTCGGTTTTTAAGCTATCGTTCTGAAATTTTGCACCTGTCCTTTCCTCACTAAGATGCTGGTCATTTGTCGGAACAGCCGATATCAGACCACTATAGTCTATAGCTGTCAAACAAAATGAACAATCGAAATCAAGTGCTTGTATGCGAAACTTTTTTATTTGACGAGGTATATTCACGAAATTAGATCGGAATAAAATTCTTGTAAGGAAAATTTTTATTTGTAAAGGGTATTATAGTTTAGGTGCAACCGAAGTTAACGTTTTTTCTCATTTTATTTATTGAACATTGTGTTTTGATGAATACTTCAACCAAGAAAAGCTTCATCTATGTTTATAATCATTATTATCCATCACAAGTTCACTGAAACCTATTGAAAAGTATTATTTTATACCGGATTTTTAGGTTTCTTTTCAAATTTTAGACTTTTAAGTAGTAGTATTGTGTATTATTATCGATTTCAAGAAAAAAATGTTCTCCTAATAAGATAATAAACGATCTATTTAACTTTTTTTTTTCAATATTAAAAAGTGTTTGTTGTATTGATATTAATTATAAGTAAGTTGATATTAACACCAGTATATAATAAATATATTTATAGAACACTCACCTAAAGGAATATTTACTCCATTAGGATGCAGAGATGGTTTGCGACCTACCACCGATATGGGCAATACCGCTCCTGAAGTGGACGATGGTGATGGCGAAGATGTGTCACTGGAACCTTCTAGCGATTGTGCTGGAGTGGGCACTGTGGTCATGTGATGTTCGGGTGGTGGCACCGACCCAGATACAGAAGTGATGCCAGAACCGATTCCACCTGCTATACCGCCGTTACCACCACTGCTAACATTTCCGCCGCCATGTTCGGCATGTGGCGGAGATCGGATCGCTGTCGATATATGGTGATGTGCCGCAGCAGCAGCTGCTGCAGCTGCAGCGCTCGCATGATGATTCTGATTCAAGTGATGATGATGCTGCAAGTGATGATGATTAAGTAATGCCGTTGGCCCATGGACCACTGGCGGTACCTCATGAATCTGCAGAACCCTTTGTTCATCCTGCGCTTGTGCCCGTCTCAATGCCGTCTGCAGTGCCATGACGCGTTGACGATCGGCGGTTAAGCGGCACTTTTCACAAGTGCAATAACGGAACTTGCAATATCGTTTGTGTCCTTTTAGTGTGATTTTGAGTCCATGATTTCGGCACCGTGCACAATTTGGTGGAGTGCGGGGTGAGATCGAACTGCCGCTGCTGCTGGAAGCACCACCACAAACGTCTGCCTTTGAGTCATGCATGTCCGAATCGGACATTGTGTCGCTGTTCCAATTATCCTCAGAAACCATTAAAGAACAGCTACGAAGCCTATTCGCTGTGCGTGCGTGATGAACGTGCAGTTGCGAATAAGGCGGGTGAATGTAGAGTGAAATGGTGATGCTCACTTTAGTTGGATATACCAGTACGTATAACAACGCACCTTTATTACCTTTACTACCTGTTAGGTTTAATGTTTTGATATTGAAACTTATTTGTTTATTTGAAGTTTTTTCTTGATAAAAAAGCTTCCAACTGTTGCAATAATTTTGCCTACTTTTTTATTATTATTATTATGTGTTATGTTTGTGTGTCCATTTATATATATATAATTATCAGTTGAAACAACAGTTAAAGATAAATAGGTGATGAAATAGATGGTCAGGTTCTACTCATATATATAATATTATTAAATGTGAACACACACATAGGTATGTACTCAAAATCCTTTGGGCAGTTAATTAATGACTTCCTACTGAGAAGCTGTACGGGTAGTGTTCAATAAAATATTAAGTAGTTAAGGCTATAACAAAAGCAATGCGCTAATCTCGGATGTAATATGGCTTTAATTATACTCTCAAATCACTGATATTTGTCTTATTTGTAGCCATTACTTAAGTTTTCAAACGAATAAACAAATTCTTTTCATTTCTCGAAGCCTCTACGAATTTAAGTATGAACGTTTGTAATTATTATTCCAACGCACTATACCTTTCACAATAACGGATTTTTATCAAACAAAACAACTATTTCATAGTTCAAATATTATATATGTCCTTTTTAACGTTGGTAGATCTTATCACTTGGTTACATTAGTATTAGAATTCACTTAAAAGTTTATTCCACATATAAATTTGTCTAACAGAGACTGATCCCTTATTCCCGTTTTATTGTCAATATTTTATTTGTTTTATGATTTTAGTTTTACCCATTTCCTTCACTAATTTTTCGAAGTGGTGATCTGTAAAAAACAATAAAGTATCTTTGTCAATGAATATGTTATGTCTTAAATACATGTTTTAAATTTCTTTGATTAATTGATCATTATTATTTGATTTGATATTTTACCTTTTTGCATCAACTGTAAAGATAAACTCTTACACTCAAGATAAAATTTGATAGGGCACAAACCGAATAGATAAATATTTTTTTCCTAGATTGGTACAAGCTTTTTTATGTTCGTGTGAAGTTCAGTAAATTCATGGATATTTCACCACGATGACTGACTTTTTGACCAAATGTAAAACAAGAGCCAGCGTATCTCCAGATTAGGCTTCCTGTAACTTTTCGCGGGATCAAATTTGATCAGAGGGCATTATGCATACTTTATTCTTTTAGATGTTTGAGAAGAATATCTTCAAATAAAATATTTTTGTCTACTTCTTTTATATTTTTATACTTTTGAAACATGTTGTTAGAGAGTATGATAGTTTTGTTCACTTAACGGTTATAACGCCTACAAACCAATCGAGATTTAGAGTTATACATAAATAAATGTTATGTATAAATATAAATCATCAGGATGACGAAACGAGGGAAATTCTGGGTGACTCTCTGTCCGTCCGTCCGTGCAACCGATAACGGAGGAATCGGATCATTGCCACGCCCATTGATTCATACACAGATATTAAAGAGGATCTGTGTGCTAAAAATTTGCGAAAATTTGTTTTGTACGATTTTAAAAATCAATAGTGTATAAATCAGTTCATATATAGACATTCAGTCAAAAATATTTTTCAGATTATACAGGAATATATGACTATAGGGGTAGCAAGACTTGACAGATAATAAAAAGACAGAAACATCTCATTCAAACATGCATTTATCGATCTAATTAATTAATCTGTTGACTATCATGATTATGTTCTGGAACATAAAGTTTAAAATCCTCCTTCAATTCCTTGGAACTTCAATTACTTGGAACTTAGACGTGAGCTTTTCGAGTTTTGGCGGCAGTGAATCGATAATAGTCTGGAAATTCAACTTCTTGGCTAAATATTGCAAATCCACAAGGCTTTCCATATTTCTAACATCAACGTCGATGATGGCATTAACCGTTTGAAGAACCAAGTTTCTTTCATTGATTGACTGAAGGAGTTTAAACCATAGTGATGGCCTCCATACGCACTCAAATTTACTCATATATACAGGGCAAAATATCTCCATACTTATTTTTACGTTGGATGTAATTTTGCGCTCCTTCATAAATACCGCTAATATTACTACCATTATCGTAACCCTATCCCCGTCAAATTGAATTAATCACCTATCAAAAGCATTCTAATTTTTAACTATTCACTTAATTTTTGAGAAAATACAGGCTCTTTCGGGAACTCCAGTACCCGGGGGAATTCGGCCTACGTACAGTGCGATAACAGGCTAAATAAATAAGTCAAAAGCATAAAACTTTACATCTAAGATGGACCCTGAGGGTTTTCAGGAAGCAACATAAAAATAGGACAATGGGCGTGGCACCGCTCATCTTTAGGTGAAATTCTTTGTCTCCGGCTCTCAATCTGAGTCTTTTACTTTACAGTACACAAATCAAGTAGCAATAAATATATCAGAATAAAACTTTGCACTTTTAAGGTGTACAACGCAAGTCTTAAATTAGGACCGCGTGCCACTGAAGAAGCCGCTTGCATCTATTCAGAATAATTTATGTACTTCAAGTGCACTGTCAGATGATGACCAGTTGGCCGACGGTAGGTTTTCATGTGGAGAACATCCCAAATAAATCTCGCCATTGATCTGGTCGATATATCCATTTCCCTTGACATAATTTTCTATTTTCGAATAGCGAAATCAAATACTGAACTGAATATTATTTATGAGTAGACAATGCATACAAATTATAATCAAAATAACGGTACTTTTTTCTGTGAATTTATCCTCGCTGCATGCATTGTAAACTTTGTACCAGAATTTATGGCAAGACTAATTATAACTTTACATGTACCTATTTCGCTTTTAAAAATGGGCTTGTACTTTCTTTTATCTTCTTTTTTTTAAACCAACCCAACTCTTTTTTGGTATTATGAACTTAAACAATTTTCAAACGAAGTTTTATTGGTGCTGCCAATCTAAAAAATGAAGATTCGACGATCGGAAATTAAGCAGTAGAAAATTTTTAAATGAGAAATCAAAACAATTCAATTCAATTTTTTCTCACAAAAATAATAATAATCAAAATGGGCAATAGTTTTGATTTATATTACGATGACAAAAATTATGGGGTCAAAACTGAAGTGCTGCGCACAAGAAAAAACCTTCGTAATAATTCAAATCCATTGGTAGTTCCTAACCAAGTAGATTCATAAGTTATTTTCGTTTAAATCAAGAATGATTTTGTTTTTTATGAAATGAGTTGAAGGAACATTACAAGAGTGCATTTGTGTGGGGTGGAAAAAACACAAATAACTGCGGAGAAGCCAAACGCTACAAAAATTAAATTTTACTCAAAAAGTATATTCCTAGCAATAGTAGCTCTTTATGTTTGAAATACTAGGAGAATGTCCAAAGACACAATAAAAATAAGAGATGAATCACATTTTATTCGATAGAAACGATGATGTTTATTTTAATATACCGTCACATGAAATTAAAAAAGCCCTAAGCTAAAAAAATTAAAAATCGACATTTTAATTGATTATCCTGTACCGTATCATAATACATGTTCCTTTAAAATTTTATGATCTAACAAGCAATAATAACATTGCTATAAACAAAATTCAGAAAGCTCTATATGCAAGCGTAACAAATTTGCCAACCAAAACAGTAAGTTTCGCCTTTAGAGAAATAATAAACTATTAATATGGCAGCTATATGCTATATCCGATCTATACAATTTCTGCGGAGATTGCATTATTGTCTTAAATAATAACCCATGCCAAATTACGTGGAGATACCTCGTGAAAGAGTTTCCCGTACAAGCACTTAATTCCGATTGTTCAATTTGTATGGCAGCTATATGCTATAGTGGTCCGATATTGGCCGTTCCGACAAACGAGCAGCTTCTTAGTGAGAAAGGGACAGGTACACAATTTTAGATCGATAGCTTAAAAACTGAGAGACTGGTTGGCGTATATACAGACAGACGGACAGACAGACGGAGATGGCTAAATCAACTCAGCTCCTCATGCTGATTATTTATGTATATATTTTATAGGGTCTTCGACGTTATCTTCTGGGTGTTACAAACTTCGTGGCAAACTTAATATACCCTGTTCAGGGTTGAACATGCTTTGTTTTGGTTTTTTGCTTTTATGATTTTTGTTTCTCCTGTAAAATTTATATAATTTAACTTATTGCTTTTATGTATTTATGTGGCGATATATAAAATAAATCAAGTGCTCTGGAATGATTATGTATATGTTATATGGTACATTTTAATCATAATACAAGAAGATAACAACTGTTGTAATTCATTGTTACAAATGTTTGCAAATATGTCAGCGATCGCTCCGCCCACAAACGGCAAATACAATACAGCTATTTTGCACATTGTACACTTTCGGCAAATCATTTAACAAAAATATTGTTTCATATAATAAAAATTAAATGAATTTAAACTTACTATATTTTTTTGAAAAATCGCACACACTCCTCAATTTTTAGTTTTTTGAACGATCCTTATATTGCACATGGTTAGTAATCAATATTTAACGTAATTATACCAAAGTTAAGAAAACGGCAATATTGCATTTCTTTTGTATGTTTGTTTACTATTTTTTATCATTTTCAGTTTGTAGGTAGAATTTGATAGCAATTGTTTCATTACACAAGTTCCGTTAACTTTATTTTGCGAATCTGCGTATTTAAAGCGATCGGCCTCAATCAATGATTTTTTTTTTATAAATATGTATAAAAATGTATGTATTTAAACAATAACTGATCGTGGCGCTGATTACACTACCAGCGAAGCTGAGCGAAGCTGAAATTTTTTGAATAAATTCACCGACGGCGAAACCCAAAGTAACAACGCGCCCAAACACCTTTTGATTATTGGGTAATGTCAGCGAAATATGTTACTGTTAGTTTGCGATCGCACGGAACACCAAATTTGAACGACAGCGCATGCAAAATCACAATCGCGAATGTTTGGCACACTTGAACATATGTCTAATGACCGATGCACAACGCTTAGGAGTAGCTGAAAGCGCAGAAGTAATAAAGGCGGCACTTTTGTATTTATTCTTGCAAAATGCAACACGAACTCCGTTAGACAACGCGCAAAACAAGCGACGACATGAACATCGACAGCGACATCAACATCAATTACGAATTCGTTTTTGACTACGAATTCAACTTGAACTTGCTGAGCGAAGAAATGGATCAACGTGTGAAGCGAATGCGGATGCTAATGGTGACCGGCCGCAGCGGAACAGCACAGAACTGCGAATGTGGCGTGCAGTGTCCAAGTTGTCGACTCAATGCGCTGCGATGCTAGCCACTGCGAATTGAGTTGTTCCCGAGTGCTCTAACCATAGTGGTAACGATGTGCGAATGCACAGACCGTGATAAAGGGTGTAGTAGTTGTGGTGGTGCTGCCGTTTGTAAAGAGTTGCTTGGAGCTTGTTGTGTGGCCGATGACCGTAGTGCAGTCGGCTCGTTTTAGCGAATTGTTTGCTGTCAATGACAATGTCACTACACAGACCTCAGACACGATAGACAAACTGGCGGAGGGGGTACAACTGTACAGCGACACGACAGACCCCAATTAAATGCAAACACTGCAACTGCTTCTGTAAATGTTGCTGTTTCTGTTACTTTTGCTGTTGTTCTAAATGCATTCCTTTACATGTGTCGGTGCTCTGGTGGTTCGCAACTGCCACTACAGCTGTTGTTGTTGTTCTGCTATCATAGTTGCTGCCCTAGCGGTAAGACGAGTGCATACCGGCGCATTGCCCTAAAAAGTTGTTGCGCAGCCACCACCGCAAGCACTTGTTCAGTGCATACATATGCATAACCGAACACCTCCGGAACTGCAACAACAACTGGTGACGATATGAGCGCTCCTACACGTTTCCGAGATGTCGCGACCCACCGCTCACAGCTCAGCCGGAAAGTGCTATAGCCAATGTGTATGAACACATCTATGCTTGTCGCTGTGTTTTGGTCTCTTTCTGTGTTTGTTCAATTATTGTCGTTGCAATACAGCGACTGCATGCGGCACCAGAGCAATGTTAAATTGCATACAGTGCTGTTAGTTGGCAACTAGTTTTCCTGTTAAGGCGCTGTTATACAGTCCATGCTGTTGTTGCACACGAACCAAGTGGTTCGACCGATTCAACACTATCCGACAAATGCTTTATTTCGTTTTGTTTATTATTATCTCGCAACCGTGGCTCTCACCCATATTGTAATTCATTTATTTGCAGTTATGTCTCCCTGGCTTCTCACACTCATAAAAGGCGTTCGACCGGTGGCAACACTTCGCAATTGTTTCGCACTCAGATATTCAGAGCTAATACTTAAGCATAGAAATTTATCCACTCTTCTAACAAACCTTACGTATTGCCTACAGCGTGCTACCTTCATGTACAAAGAGAACATTTGATTGCACCACGATCGATCAATTCAGATCAAATTAACATAAAAATCATATACAGAAGAATATGTTGCGTTGTGCTATGGATTCCTAAACAATTATGCTTATTGTATAAGTTGTATAAATGTTCCGTAACTGATTGACGTAAAGAAGTTAAAAAAAATAATTATACCTTGATTTAAAACTAACTAACTACATACATATGTATATGCTAGGACTGTTTGCTCAAAATAACACTAGCAAGCAAGGATTAATTTGTCTTTAATAAGAGATATGTATGAATTTACTTAATATTAATCACGAAAATTATTCGTATTCCTTCCAAGCTCTGAACAGATGGCTTAAAGTATTATTATTATAGCCATGCCCAGTTAGTACCTCTGAACAGGGTATATTAAGTTTGCCACGAAGCTTCTAACACCCAGAAGGAGACTTCAAACACGCTATAAAACATACATTATACAAATGATCAGCATGACGAGCTGAATCGATTTAACCATGTCCGTCTTGTCTGTCGGTCAGTCCATCAGCCCGTCTGTCTGTCGGTATACGAACTAGTGAGACGATCTGAAATTTTGCATAAGTCCTTTGCTTCCCAAGAACCGGAGGCCAATACCGAATCACTATAGCATATAGCTTTCATACAAAATGAACGATCGGAATCAAGTTCTTGTATGGAAATTTTTATATAATATTTGTGAAACTTCAGTGCAACCGAAGTTAACATATTTTCTTGTTTTTTATATTCGACAACCAAACAATGAAATATAGGAATATGAACTGAATTATTTCACTTGCGACCCAGGTTTTGAATACGTATTAAGATAATTTATTTTACTCGTGTTTTTCGCTCTAATCAGTCGTTTTTTCTTTTTTAATCTTTACATATACAATCTTGAAATAAAAGAAAATCCCGCTGTCGGGCTTTGGGGCAATTTTCCCACATAAGGCTCGGCCATGGTTTACGTATTTATGGGTTTTAATTATATTCTTTGCAATGAAAATGTCTTAATACTGGAAGGAAGGTGTTGGGCTTTTTACTATTGAATCGTTATTATTATTTAGTGCTAAGTGTAAATATTTAATACCTATATAGATACGTAACATTATCAAAAGCACAAAGAGAGTTGATCACGAAACCGTTAACTATTTCTCAATGAAGCAAATTCTCTTAGGTTGATGACCGCATACTAACTAAGCAATAGCAGCCCACACTCAACAACTTGTAGTTAGTTGGTATCCCATTAAATAGGAAAAGTATACAAACTTAGTCCCATGATTTTCCTGCGATTGCTGCAGGTCGTTCGAAGCAAGCGGTTTACACTCACTGCAATAACACTCTTGGGAGCTTAATAACTCTCCACGAAATAGAGTACAAGTATATCACCAAGGGCGAAAGCTTTCGCTGTATCGCAAATAAAATGAGAAACAACGTATCAGCAATAGTCAGAAATTGAGTTTTAACTTCCCGCTAAGAAAATTGAAAATTTTCTAAAAATCGGGAAGATATTGGTTTCACCCCATTTTGCAAAAATCGAGTTCTCAACAGATCTCAACGTTTTGAGGGTCGAGGAAGCTTCCCCGAACATTTCTACGATGATGTCCGTATGTCTGTATGTATGTGTGTGTGTGTGGATGTATGTGACCCTCTTATAACTTTTAAACGGCTCAACCGCCTAAACGGCATTCCAAAGGGTTTCATTGCACTTGAATTTCGTGTGAGTTTGGACCCAATCGGCCCAGTAGATTTTGAAAAATCTCAAAAATAAAAATTTTGAAAAATAATTTTTTTCGAATTTCTTCCAAACGACTTGACCGATCGACACCAAACTAATCAGGTCTAAACCTTGAAGAAACACATCGTTTGCCGCAAACCGGGTCGAAATCGGTTGATTTACTTGCTAGATATCGAAAACGAAAAATTTCGAAGAGCTCAAAAGCAGTGAAAAAAGCGAAATTTGAACGTTAGCGTATGAAATTAGAGGGAAGTTGCAGGGATGGCCCTTGAGGCCAACCGTTTTCCACATTTTTTTTATTGATTACGGTACACTAGATCATATTACATATGCTTACATTAGTTACAATTTACATTACAATTTTAAGCTTCAGTTAGCAGATGTATTAAAGTTATAATCAAAATAAAAATTTTGTTTTAATATGAGTAGCTTCTATTTTATATCGTTATTTTTCATGAAAACATGTGAAAAATGATGTTACGTTGTTTTCCATTTTAGCTGATGATACGTACATATTATCTCTTCTCATCTTCATATGGTATTCTCTTTTTCTAATTCAAACTCTTTGCAATACATTGATTATTCGTTAGTGCGGGAATGAAGTACTGTTTTATTAATTATACATACGGTATTACAGGGTATATTAATTTTGCCACGAAGTTTGTAACACCCAAAAGGAAACGTCGGAGACCCAATAAAATATATACAAAAATGATTTGCATGATGAGCTGAGTTGATTTAGCCATGTCCGTCTGTCTGTCTGTCTGTTCGTCTGTCGTATATACGCCAACTAGTCTCTCAGTTTTTAAGCTATCCATCTAAAGAATCTAAATTTCACTAAGAAGCTGCTAATTTATCGGAACGGCCGATATCGGACCACTATAGCCACTGCCATACAAACTGAACGATCGGGATCAAGTGCTTGTATGGAAAACTCTTTCATGAGGTATCTTCGCGTAATTTGGCATGGATTATTATTTAAGACAATAATACAATCTCCGAAGAAATTGTTAAGATCAGATCACTATATCATATAGCTGCCATACATATTGAACGGTCGGAATCAAGTTCTTTTAAGGAACCTTTGTATTTGTGAAGGGTATTATAGCTTCGCAGTGATACCGCAGTGATCGAAGTTAACGTTTTTTCTTGTTTTTTATTAACGCTGATAACCGTAACTGATTTGTTTATATGAGATGAAACGAAAAAATAATAACTTATAGAATCGCGGTGGATAAACATACGTGACATATTGCAAGAGATTGTGAGAGACAAAGCAGGGTAGAGCAGAAAATGTGTGAAGTGGAAGTGTAGAAAATGCAAGTCTGACAAGGGCTTGCGTGCTACAACAATTATACCCATTTTTTTATGTTTGCAGTTTTCTCTTCTTTAACCGCATTGCTGTTATTTATTTACGCCTTGGGCCGAGGTTTAACCCTTCACTAGGGGAAATATCATAAGTAAGCACGAGGAGTTCTTTAATCAAACTAATATTATTTAAGAATTCGTATGGATTCAATGACGAATTGTTGGATTATTTTATTATTGTAAGTGCTTGTTTGAAGAAACTTATAACAATTTCAATCAAACTTTATCAAGCATTGCTTTGAATTGAGTCGATACAAAATGTTAAAACTAATAGTATTTAAATTGTTTCAAAATACAATATTTTTATTTTCGAAGACAGTTTAATTCATATAAATTTTAATTTCTTAATTTTAAAAATTAGTAAAGTTAGTGAAACAACAAATTCTTCTTTAGTTTTCTAGTCTTCTGAACTGTATTTTCATTAAAACTAATTAATACATTTTGGAAATTAAATAGCAGCGCAATTTATACCTTTAAAATAATCTTAATACATAGTTTCCAACATTTAATTTAAACGAAATAACGTTCGGTTTAATATTTACATGATTTTCCAAATATTCTAATAATTTTAAAGCTGACTTTATCTTAATAAATCTTGAAGGTTTTATACATATATTCTTATCTGAATTATCATAATTATTTAAAAATCAAAACGGTTTCTTAGGTTTGGGAAAGTGTTCCTAATGCGATAGTATAAAGCATATTGGCATATAAGGAAGAATTCTCTTAAATTCTGAAATTTAAATTTGATTATGGTTTCACCGATCTAATATATATAAATAAATAAAGCTATAAAATATTTGAATTCATTTAAAACGTATATATTTAGTAAGTACCACAAAAGTGAATTTGCATTAATATATCGGATCAGGCAAATCAAGGTTAAAAGCAAAACAGCATTTGTACAGTGTACGCTTTGCTAAGTTTGCTTTACGATTTTC